GCTTTCCTGGACATCCCTGCAGTTCTTACGTTCATTGGCATACTTCTTCTCCAGGCCCTCAGCACTGTGAACAGTGATCTGGGTAACCACCTTTGGGTAGCCACGTGCCAGGTTCCAGCAAGACATCTTGGGCATGTCCAATGTCAGCTCCCTAGAACATAAAAAAAAAAATGTCACCTCATGTTGATCTGGACCTGCCTGAGTAGACTTCGTTGTTGAATCAAGTAAGGAACTGGGTGACATAACCCATTCCTCCACAGGCATGGCTTATGTTTTTATGAGTGTGATTTTCTTTTCTCTGGATTGCAGGACTGTCACTTAAAGATACATGTGGGTACAGCTGGAGTAAAGTGTAGCTTAAGCTATGCTGCACTGAGAACAAGATAGAGGAGCTTAATGACTCATAAAAAGATAGAACCAACCAGGGAGCTGAAGATAAACTACAAGTTGCAGAGCGTAAGTGATGGGCTCCTCCTTCTAAATGCCAGATCAGAGCTCTAAATCTCAGATCTCCATTGGGGAATTTTCCAGAACTCTACTCTGAGAAATAGTTTGACCACTTTCATTTCAATTAGTGAGGTCAGGCTTGAGAATAGTGTCTCATTGACTGTATGCATGGAGGAAAATGAGTAAAGAGAACTCAAAGGAAAAGAGAACAAGAGTTTGAAGATAAAAATAAAACTAAACCTGAGCTGGACAGGCACTTCGGAGAAGATTCTGAGTAGAAATTCGCTGGTGCGGCCATGCTGGAACATGGTTGGGACAAGCACGTAGCTGCCCTTCTTCAGATACTTGCTCAGAAACACAGTACGGGTGTCAATATAGGTGGAAGTCCCAGCACGCTCCTGAACATACAGATGGTGAAGGCGGAATCTGCGGTTCATCTCCACCTAGAATCAAGGAAGATGACGTTTTCTACTCTGTTAAGATCAGAGCTTTTATGTTAGAAGTTTCTACTTCTGCTGTCTTCTTTATCTCTTCCTAATTTTCCTGGCTCTAAAGCCTCCTAATGTAGACTCGGAATGCTCTTATTCTTTCTGCTCTAAATGCTGTTCTTTTTTTTTAATTTTTTAATTTTTTTTTAAGATTTATTTATTTATTATATATACAGTGTTCTGCCTGCGTGTACCCTTGCAAGCCAGAAGAGGGCACCGGATCTCATTATGGATGGTTGTGAGCCACCATGTGGTTGCTGGGAATTGAACTCAGGACCTCTAGAAGAGCAGTCAGTGCTCTTAACCACTGAGCCATCTCTCCAGCCCCTAAATGCTGTTCTTACCTTGAAGAGCTCAAAACCAATGATGTAATTGTCAGGTCTTCCCATTCGGCGGTAAGTGCGTAGGTCCTTCTGCTGCAGTGACATTATGACCTTATGGCCATCCTCAGGCACAGTGAAGATGTACTGAGGGAAAGGGGCCATTAAAGAGATGAATTAGTACACCAATTTAAGATAATCTAGCCTAAAGTTCACGGAATAAAAATCTATAATGGGAAGCAGAGTCTCGGGTTCATTTCTGAGCTTTACTATTAGCCAGACAATGATATCACAGAAAATTAATTCACTACTAAGTAAAGATCATTATACTTGCTTTTCTCTGTAGCATCTAGCATGTACCGAGAGGCAACTCCATTTTTAGGTCTTTGGTGCCAAGGAGGGTAAGTTTTAATATGTATGTTCCTGCTAAGTTATTCATTTCTTCCTGTTACTATACCCTTGTGTTTAAAGCTATATACAGAAACACTTCAGAATTCATAAAGACAGGAAGTATTCATATCCCACTCAACAGACTTTGCCACATAGTCCTTGGTGGATTTATAAAGCCAATCCAGACATGTGAGCAACCCAGACAACGGCCCCCAAAGGTCAATCTTGTGTATATACATTCAGAGAAGCCATTCCCCCAGTTTGGTACAGTTGCCTAGTACCTGAAACCTTTCTAGGGTCTAAGTGGGAGTGATGTTGGGGAGGGGTAACAATAACGAAGTTTTTATAGGGGTCACTAAGATGGAAAGTACGAAGAAAATTATGAGTTAAGTAAACCAGTTTTCCAAGCCTCAGTGTTCTCTAAGATGCCTGGGCAATAAGGTCTGTAGGAAGAAGAGACCTGTCCGTGGGCAGTGAGGCACGAGCATAGCCAGAGTTACATCTGCTGTACTTTAGCACATCTTCATATAGGTCATTATAAATTCAGCCTTGGGATGCTTGGGGGAGTTTTGCTGTTGCTTTCTTGGGATGTGCCTGGCCTGACCACCTATAATGTCACTGATAATAAGATTATGGTGGTAGAAAGATGGAAAGAGAAATTGACAGGGCAGTGATTTCAATCCTGAGGAAAAAATTACCTCATTCTCAAAAGGAAAAAACAAGTTATAATGATGGGTTTTAGAAGTGTAACCTATACAAAAAGGGCTAAAAGTATGATGTGTGTGTGTGTGTGTGTGTGAGAGAGAGAGAGAGAGAGAGAGAGAGAGAATCAGGTGAACAACTGGGCAGTAAAGACAAAGGAGGAAGAACTGAGACAGCATCTGGAAGTAGATCTTCTCTCTGCTGTGTGAGACCATCACCAGAAAGCAAGAGTTATGAGCTGTAACATTCAGAACAGGAGGAGGCAACTGGAGAAACTGACACACATTTGAAAATGTTCCAAGGTAAGTCTCCCCAAAGAGACCTTGTCTTCTGGGTCTTAGGAGCATCTGAGTCAATCCCTAGGGTTTGTGGTTGATGAGTATTACACAAAAGATTGGAAGACCTGATGCTAAATGAATACTCTAGAGAGGACCAAAGTGAGATCTGGATTTCTATTGGCTGGGTAGCTTGGAGGCAATGGACAATCATTAATTCTAACCTGAGGATTCTGCAGGAAGGTATCACGGTTGTTATAGCAACCACCTGATCGGTTCATCAGAGGGTCATCATCCACAGTCCAACATCCCACCACTGATTCCAGTTCTTTGCGGCCAAAAACAGGGTTGTTCACATTGCGGCAGACATTCAGTTTGTGAAAGTTTTGGCAAAAATCTTCCAGACTCATCCTAAATGGAAGGAACGGGGAAAGAAATGAAGATTCAACTTAGCATGTATTTCTAGTGAGAGACCCAAATTCCTTGTTGCAGAAAGACTTCTCACCAAAACTCTCCATCATCAGACATGACAAGCCCCAGGTTCTTGCGATCTGTTACAGTCAGTTGCTGCCACTCTTCAGAACTAAAAGCAAACAAAGAATAAACAGATAAGTCATTATGCTTGCCAGGATGCCAAAAGAAGATAATGAATGAGGATTAGACCTGCTTTATTTTATCTCTGACTGGGTTGCAGATCCCATACCTTACTAGAGCTCAGAGATGTCTCTGTTATTTGACAGCCTACTAGCAGTCTAGAGAGTTAGGTTTCGGAGAACTACAGAGATTGGGAGGTGTAGCAATGAAAGTGAAATGTCACTTACATTTCACTCCAGGGGCCACTCCATTCTTGTCTTCCCAGTGGATTCCTCAGGCGAACCATGTACAGCTTCTCAGCACTGAAGACTTCCACGAGTCTTTCTCCAAGGCGGAGCTTGCGAATATCAGTCATGGTATAGGTATGGCCCTTCAGTAGGCCCCAGTCTGTTTCAACTTCTTGTTCCTCCTGGCTGGGAGACTGGTAGCAAAGAAAGATAGATTAGGTCATAGAATTGCGACACCAAGTCCTGGATCCCCTTCTCCCTTAGTTGGATCATCCCAGCATGACTGAATCAAGCTGTCCATATGCAGATGGAAATTAGACCCTGATATCTAATCCATCACAAAAGTAAGTAAAAGAGAGATAATAATGTAATATAATAACTTAATTTAAAAGTTCAAATTCCAAATAATCACTGTCCTACATTAATATGAACTGTGATTTTTTTAAAAAAAATATGATAGGGTAGATTTATTCTTTGAGGGAACAGTTATAACTTCAACATCCAGGGGCCAATTTAATAATTTACCAGAAGCTATTTCCACCAACTTGGATGGTTCCTTGGCCATCATCAGTGGAATGACTGAGGTTCAAAGGGATAAAAAAATTAGTGTACCTCAGTCTCGAAGCAGTACTCCATGCCTATGTTAGCTTTCTGAGTTCCATTAATGGCTCTTTTTGTGAATCTCTGGGTTAAATACAATGTTCCCTACTAAATTTTGTTAATCTTTCTTGCCAAGAGTGAGCATAAAGTAGCTGTTTGGGGTGAACACAAACCTCAATGGAGCAACAAATTAGACCCCCTTTGGTGAAGGTTTTGTACAGCTCTCGGAACAGCTTGTACTTCTCCTCAACAAGATCAGTGTATCTTCCTTTCTGCATGTCAACGATTTCAGCCAATGTGCCCGTGAAGTCCATGATGATATCAGTAATGGTCAAACCATCCAAGGCCTCATAACAGCCTAGCATCCTGGAAGCAAGGATGCAGAGTGATATTAGTGAAATTATTTATCTAGGTCAAGGACATCAAGTTCCCAAGAATTAAAACAATCACTGTTCAACCTTTACCAGCTTGGCTTTTCTCTGGATATGAAGTGGGAAATACTTTGAGATTACAATTAAAACTTTACTGGCTTAGGTTCTGTTGATAAATGCTAGTCCATGTAGAAACTTGTTCCTATAGGCAGATGATAGGCAAGGTTAAAAGGAGATAAGACTTTCTTGTTAACTTCAGATTAACAACCTGAAAGATTACCTAGGAGACCTAGGATTTAACAGAAGCAAGCGCAGTTGATTCCTCTGATATCTGTGAGTTCTGAGAGGCAGAGCTAGGGCTAAAGAAATGTCTTAAATCTTACTTAGATGCAGCCCAGTTTTAACCCTGGGGTTGAGTGGGAGAGAATGCATTCCCAAAGACCAATGTGATCTTCCTTTCTTCATGTATCATGACCACCGATATATGATACATCAAACCCCTTCTTACTTTGCATAAGCTTTTTCCAGGAGAGCATTCCAAAACTCATTCATGGAGGTGGAGAATGAGAAGACCAGATCTCCATTGATGGTGGGCAGCAAGTCATCAATTACCACCTCAGTCAATTCTCCAAAATGCCAGAAACGGAAGCGAAATATTCCAGCATATTTTTCTGGCTTTCGAGGATCCCATTCCTGTTCCTTATTGTTGGGGATTACCTGGAAAGGTAAGAACATTTAGTCAAATGTTATTCACAAGACTATATCCAGATATACAGGTTATAGTGAAGTCCTAGGAAAACCATATAGCAAATGGAAGCTTCCCAAAGCATTTTGTCCACAACTTTTGTTTCCACAGGTCAGTTTTCCTGTATGTGATATTACCATACCTACCATTGTTGCTCAGAATACATAGGGTACTGGAGAGACAGTTGGAGGGGTCCCCATAGATATCAATAAACTAAATGATAGACTATACATGTAGATTCATGATCAAATGTTTAAACACATGAACTAGGCATTTAAAAGTAATATCAAGATCAGAGAGATGGTTCACTTATTGAGAACATTTACTCCATAATCACTAGTCCTGGAGTTTGGATCCTAGCACCCAAGTAACAAGCCAAGTGTGATCCCAGCTCCTCAGAGGGGAGAGACAGGAGGATTTGGGGGACATTATGGCTTCTACATTAGTGGAGGAAACATGAATTCTGGCTTCAGGGATAGACTCTGCCTCAAAGTAAATAGGTCAAGAGTGCAAGAGGAAGATACTGAATGGCCTCTTCTAGCCTCCATGAGTGCAGATGGGAAATCACCCTTCCACACACACATGCATATACATACTCACATGGGCAAATAAGCAATAAAGTAAAAAATTCTTAAAAATTAAAACCAATAAAAATACAATGCTTACTCTGGTTTGTATGTCTAGAGTTTCATGTAGACTTAGTCTACATAATATGAATTTTAGTCATGTCAATAATAAAATCACATTTTTGGAATTCTATTATAGCAATTGCACATAAACATTCTTAATTTGTTTTTATTAGGAAAATGCTTATTGTCCCAAATCGAATATTCTTTGTTGTTTTCAGTTTCCTCTGAATAGTAAAGGAATTTTTGTACTAGTAATAATTTATTAGCACCCTTTCAAGGATCCATTTCTGTCTTTTTTCACCTTTGCTGTTGTGTGTGTGTGTGTGTGTGTGTGTGTGTGTGTGTGTGTATGTTAATGACTTCCCGGCTTCTACTCACTTCAGAACAAACTGGGACAAAGAACGTACTATGAAGAACTATTGAGTCCAAACATTCCAGATGACAGCAGAAGAGCAACTAGTATATATGACAAAGCAAGTTCAGTGAAATGTCCGTGCAGGAAGGCAGTGTATACGGATTTTCATTATAAAATTCAGTTTGCCTGTGTTTGTGACCACTCTTACAACAGAAATAAGTCACCATAATACTTCTGGCTTCAGAAAATAGAATGATCTCAAAAAAGTTAGGAACTGATTGTCTGTCAAGTTATTCAAGAAGGAAGTGGAACTAGACTTAGAGCCCAAAGAAAAGATCGTACCTTTGTCCAGTGTGACTCCTGAACAGCCAAACAGGAAAATGCAGGGATCATTGACTTGTTCCCCAGTCTCCCCTGGATCAGCTGGTGGTTGCTGATGTTGCCCACAATCAAATGGGGGTCATCAGAAATGTCCTGGAGATACAGTAATTTGTTATGCAGGAGTCTGGGAGGAGGTTTTTAAGGATCACTAGAAGCTGAGATAAGCAGAACAGCCTACAGAGGAGATAGGGTTAAGTGTGGATAGGATGTTTATAGATTCCGGGATAAAGGGAAGGTTGGGGAGATTTGTGGTAAAACACAAAGCAGTGGGTAGCCTATGCACAGAAAATGACCACAGAAAATGACCATGTGGTGAATAGAAACGGAAGGAGAGAATGGAATGAGATAGGATGGCCTGTGTTGCTGGAAGGCCTTTGCCATTGGGCTTTGGAGGCATTTTTAACCACAGCAGTGAACACTGGAAGACTAGAACTGAGAATTAGCACATTACAATCTGATCTCATTTTTGTCAGGATGAGATTTTCCCTGAAGTATCCATGCTTAGAAGGACAATTACCTTTAAGAGACAAGGTCTGACAGAGGTGACCATTAATGCATCGCCTTCTCTAGGAAAAATGAGTTAGGAGACCATACAGGAAGCCCTTTTCTAACACAAGCAAAACCAACAGCAGTTTCCATGACAACCAGCTTTCCCAACCCCCACCTTTATATGAATATAAATGACAGCAGCATTAACAGCAGGTGTTAATGAGCCATTCACAGGACTACGTCAGTGGACACTGTCCCTGTGGTATATATTCCAAAAGTGTCTGGCTGGAGAGTGGGGGCAGTATTTGCTAGGAGAATACACATGTGTTTTTATTTCAGTATATCATTAACTGGGTCATTCCCACTGTGAGTAGGAACAATGAAAGTCAAATAATGGAACTACAACAAAACGTGATGAAAGTAAAATGGAGCTGCTTTCAAAGTATAATCAGTGCCTAGAAAGAAAGAATCCCCAAAGTTCATCCAGTGATGGAATGGATATTGTGGTGAATGATTGATTATTTGAGCTGACTACTGATAGGTCACAGGGCAAGGCAGAAACATCGAGGCACAGCAGACAGAGCGGCAGGCGTGAGCAAAGGAATATGTAACATTGTATAATTGCAGGCATGATGTGGCTCAGAGCATTAGCACTTGCAGAGTTCAAAGACATCAAATCCCAATTAAGTCTTGATAAATGGAAACAGTTTCATGGACGGGCTGTTGGCACATAAATTGACATTCTGCATACCCTGCTGAAATAAATCCCAGTTGCAAATGGAAAGAAAATCTAGACCCACATCCTCCAAAATTATTAAATAGAACCAGCTATTTTTTTTCTGGTGTATAATGTCTACTTTGTAATGGATATAATTCTCCTTGATGAAGGGTCTGGTCTACAGAATGAAGCGTTCCAAATATCAGTTAAAAGCCAAAATAGCTCTGGAAAGAAATAGACTTTCTGGGCAGGGACACATCCAAACTGAAGATTAATCGGGCATCAACCTGCCAAAAGGAAAGGATTAGGTGGGTTGTCAGCTTTGCACTTTCTGTCCCTTTTTGTTTAAGATGCATATCTGATGTCTTGTCACCACCTTTTATCTGAGGAGACTACTTATATCTAAATAGTGTATGGGTTGTAAGCTGCCTTTTTCTTTTCATTTACTGAGCACAGAGCAGGTGTACTAGATAAATTAGGGCCCAATGCATCTCCTCTCTGTTTCCTCTTTTTTTTCTAAGATGAAATTAAGAAGCACGATCATTCCTCCCTTGGTCAGACATTGGCACTTTATTTGGAGCAATATGTGAAGTTACGCAATAATTTCTTGGAAACAGATGAAACGTAGCATTGCTTCCTGGCATAGAAAGCATCTCAGTGAGTATTGATAGGTAAAAAGGTGTTTTTTTTTAAATATATTTTAAGGCAAATTAGTTCCTTGCTTTATGTAGTATTACTAGGGGTTGGGGTTATTTTGCAATCTGTTTAATTTAGATAAACAGGAGTCTACACCCAGTCAATACTTTAAATGTGTGAACTTCTCTAGTCACATAAGGGAGCAAAAAGACACATAAACAGATTAAATATGAGGAACTAGGCAATCAGCATCTTCTTTGTATGCATTGGATATAGTTATTATTAATAGCATGCATTACAACCTTGTTTTACTTCAACATTTTATATAGACTACCCAACAGTGGGTTTTAAAACACAGTATCAGTCATGGAATATCAAAACCACGAGGAATATTAGAGATCATTTAGTCAACTTCTTATTTTACAGATGAAGAAACAGGCTCATTAGATAGGGACAGCCACTCAAGTCTCTGGTCATCTAGTCACGAGGACATCTAGGTTAAAGCCTTTGAGTCTCCATAAAAGCATAATGTTAAAGAAGAGACCTCAAGACTTCGGGTGACTCATCCCTTTATCTTTAAGCTTATCAATGATCATGTGTAAAGGATTAACTTTGCAAAGCTCCTGCATAGATATCCATCCTAATTTGTAGCCCTTTTCTCAACACTCCATTTTTCTGAAAGATTTTTCCAGCTCCTGAGTTTAGAAGAAAATATCGGCAATAGGCATTGATTTCCATAAGTCAAGTGACTAAGTATAAATCAGTCTTGTACTACAAGCAAGTACCACGATGTGAAAGACATGAAACAAGTCTTCTAAAGCCATATCTTGTACCTCTTATGTGAAACATTTAAAGACTAGAAAACAGCCAAGGAGTTAGAAAGATAAGAATGAGCCAATGCAAATCTAACTGCTTTAAGAACTTTTCAGCAATAACTCAAAAATAATGAAACGGCTCTTAAGTGACTTTTACTGTAGTTTGGGACACACTGGATATCTTCCTGTTGAGGTTAAAGATGGAAGGTTGTAGATAATTTTCTGGAACTCCAAGCTGAGATGCAGAGCATCATAGATTGGACATTTCAGCCTGAGCTATGTTAGTGTGTTAAAAGTGGGGTTCAAGGAAAGGCCACCGCTCACATATCCATATTATCTGGGTGGCTTGAGAGTAGTGAGGAGCTGTAGGAGATGCTGTGTTCCTAATGACTCCAGATGTGCTGGCACAGTTGAAATAATTCTTGAACTAAGCTGTTTGGCAAAGCAAAATAATTTCTTAGGTAGAGAATACATAATACCGAGAAATTGAACATAAGAAAAGCTGGAGTATTCCCCAAATACTATCACCCAAAGATAAATGTTCTGTAAAGAAAGCATCTTTTCTAGGAAATATATTATCTTGGCTGAGCATTGAGGGACGTCTCACTTTTTCTTGCCTCATCCCTATTCCCAGAAACCTCTGGTGGAATGGGAATTACAATTATGAGATCTGTAGCCCTTCATAGATCACTCTGTTTGGAACAATTACATACAGACCTTTAGCAATTATTTATGCAAGTAACATTTTATGGCAGCAAGCATTGAAATTCAGAGTAAAACACAAAGAACCACAGTAAAATAAAATATTCCTTATATAACCGTCATCCAGAAGAGTGGAGGAAAATTCAAAAGCACTATGTACCATCTAGCTGGGGGAGCAGATAGGGATATGGCCAGCCCTTCAATAAGTACTTCATGATTAACCATTCCCAGAAGGATTAGAGGCTTACTGGCATAAGATATCCATTCAGGAACTGAGGGCTGTGTGAGCTAGCCCAAGTAGCCATTATCTTATCTTTAGAAAATTCAACCATCTCCAGACGGGGAGTTTATAGGTAGATCTGGGCTCACAGAGCAATGTTGCATGCTCTCTCAAGGATCTAACTTCACTTTCTGGGAATTTTTATTTCTGTGTGAACATTTTATCACTAGTACAACATTCACTTTTTTCCAAAGAGAACTCAGTATGGAACCTAGGAATAAAAGCTCAATTTCAATATCCAGTCTAAACAACCAAGTCATTACACAAGATGCCAAGTGAAAGAATCTACATAACTTTAAGATTACATTTTAGTGGAAAAGTCTACAATAGGCAAATCTAGATAAAATAGAAGCAGAATAGTGGTGGCTGGTGAACAAGGGGTAACTCACTGGGAATGAATGTGGAGAGCTTTGATTTTTATTTTTCTCATTTTTTAGATTATAATACAACTATATCATTTCTCCTTTCCATTTCCTCCCTTCAAACCTTCCCATATGCCCGTCCCCACTCTCCTTCAAATTTCTGGGCTCTTTTTTTCATTAATTGCCATTGCAATGCATCTATGTATATGTACATACATACATATTCCTAAATGTAACCTGTTCAGTCTGTATAAGTTACTTACATGAATGTTTTCAGAGCTCCTTGGAAGAAAGCTACTTCTCCCATTCCCAGTTTTCCTCGGTTGCCTATAGTTATTGTGTAGGGTTGAGGCCCAGTGGCTTTCCCCTGTTCAGTTTGGCAGAACATAGAGATCTTAACCAATTGATGCAACTATTGTTGTATAATTGGATTGTGGTAATATTTGCACAACTCTATAAATCTACCAAAAAATGGTCACATTGTACACTTCAAACATATAAATTCCATGTAATACAAATTGTGCTTCCAATAAAAATGAAAACTACTTGAAATACAGAATTAAAATTAATATAGCATTTGGAGAAAGGACAAAAGTCTATTCAACTTTATCTGATTGTGTAAACATTACAAAACACCTTAAAATCACTTTCTGTAGAAACCATGATCTCTTACCCAATGAGCCATGTTGCAGACCCCTGTTATTTTATTTATTTATTTTTGGATTTTTGAGACAGGGTTTCTCTGTGTAGCCCTGGCTGTCCTGGAACTTGCTCTGTAGACTAGGCTGGCCTTGAACTCAGAGATCTGCGTATCTCTGCCTCTTGAGTGTTGTGATTAAACACAAGTGCCACAATGCCAAGCTCCCTTTTATTTTTTTAAACAAGGAAAAGTGAATTACATGAAAGAAATTGTAAAATACCTACCTTGCTAAGCGATGGTCAATAAGGATGAAGTGAAATAATATATAGAGAGCTCCAAAGTAGAATCCAATCCATACTATGCATGTCACAATTGCAAATTCCTTTTGCCCCTTGTTTATTCTCCACCCATCCACACACATATGCCCTTGCTATGGAGCCTTATTCTAGAAGGAGTATTACTTGCCTTAGAGGAAAAAAATAGATGTTTGCCGCAATGATTAAGTTTTTTTTCTTTCCCTGCAAATCCATCTAGGATTAAATCTACAAAATTTGGGTGAAGAAGACAAAGTACAAAGAACTGAGCCACGACTGAGGGATGAGATGCATCTAAAGGCAAGTCAGTTCCAGTCTTCTACGTTTACTAGGGATCATTCTTTGTGAGCCAACACCAGTCAATAGGAAATTTGATTCTTCATAAAAATATAATATTAAAGAAGAGACTTCATACTTTAGCTGGCCCATCCCTTTCTTCAAGTATAACAAACAAACAAACAAACAAACAAACAAACAAACAAAAAGACTTACTGAAACCAATGTATCTTGGCACCACCTGGTGGCAATGTGTATGAACTAAAGTGACTCTTAGAACTCCTTTTAAGAGTTTAACTGGTTTAACTGGTGGAAATTGCAACAACAACAACGATTGGTGTTGACTCCTTAAAGAGGACAAACATTGAATTGATGACTAAGGTGGTTCACAGCCATACATAAAAAGACAAAGGGAGTCTTCAGTCCAAGAACTTGCCCTTTATGTTATCTCTTCATGGCCTATATCCCTGGTCATTGGGAAGCATCTCTAATAGATTATACTTCCTTCAGTTATAACCTCTCGATAAAGCAAGGTTGCTAATTTCTTTCCAGACTCTATCACTATATCTTAGTGTACATTGAGCTCTAGCTCATATACAGCTTATGTAGAGTTGTTGATCTCTGCTGTGAGACACATCATATAAATGTTCCATTGAGAACCATAATAATTATTAGTAGTTAATATTAATGGGCGTTGAAAGACTACAGTTATATGTAAATCCCATTAGCTAATCCTGGAATGACAGTGTGGATAATATCTAATAAACAGTTCAAAAGCCTCACTCTCCCAATGCAAGCTCTGATTTCTCTACATAGAAATTATTTCACTGATGCTAAACTGTCTAAGAAGATATTGGCCTCATTGATCTGAGATTATCCTTAAGTTAGTATGACAGGCAGCTAACTGAAAAGACAAGAGTATAATTTCTTCCTAGATTGCAATGTTTACTCAAATGAAGTTCTAAAAAAATAAGCACTGTGTATTTCCTTTTCTGCTGTTGCATTTTTTATATGACTAATCAACTGAATTTTTAGTCTCTTCAAGCTAAAGCAAACTTTAATGCTGCCTCTGTGTGAGGTGATGGATATGTCAATTCATTTATGTTAGCCATTTTAAATTGTGTAGGCATATGGAAACATCATATAATTCACACACACACACACACACACACACACACACACACACACACACACACATATATAGCTTTTATTTGTTAATTATAACTCAACAGTGAAAGAAAGAAAGAAGACTGACTTTCAATTTGTTCTTAACAGTAGGTCAATGTACGTGAAATAGTGGGTTAGTTAGGTGGAGTTTGGAATCAGACGGAGATCAAGGAGACAGAAAAAAGAGTTACCTGAGGACGTTTCCACACAACCTTTCCTGGAAGCAGACGGTTGAAAAACAGAGAATCATTCTCCGGCAGGAAGGTGGGGTCACAGAAAAGCCGGCCATCTTTGATACATTCCTGCTTCAGTTCTTGGTACTTTTGGTTTTTGAAGAGCTTCAGAGGAGGACCCATGTTAGCCAACTAAGTCTAGAACGACAAAAAAATATTACTTTGGAGGAAGTTCTCAGGTCTTTCAGGGATTACCTGAAATTCCACAAATAGCAGTCGTTGAGACGGCTTCCTCCCAGAGCCTTTGGACTGAGGCAAAGATACTATCTATGTTCAAGAAAAGAAGAGTCAAAGTTCAAATAAATACTGGGCCCTGGGTAAGCATTTGAGGACCTCGGTTTGTTTATCTGCCGAATGGGACATGTACTTTAACAGTCTCACTGGGAAAATAAGTAACAGATGTGCAGATTGTCAGCTAAGCATGAATCATTATGATGTAAAAGGTAATTTTCCACTTCTACTGACATGGAACACCTCAGAAAAGCTCAGCTGAAATTTGATGATAAAGGAGAAAGAATCACTTTCCCGTGTTCAGGATGAATCAGTGTCCTGGAGAGCTGCACACGTGGTGCAGAGGGGAGAAACAGCTTCTTTAAATTCTAACAAATCCTTTTACATAACTGCTTTAATTTGATCATTTAAAGAGCTTGTCTGTTTTACTATTGGCCAAGAAGGCTAATGTAAGAAACAGAGCTCAGCAGATGGCCTCCAAACACACATAAAAAGATAGAAAGATTATATGGTCTTTTTTTCCCTTCAAAATGTACAATCATTTGCAGACTCCAAAATCAAAAAGCAGCCTCTGAAATTCAATTACACTAATTTGACCGACGGTTTTTAATCCCATAGCAATATAATACACTATTGCTTCTTTTTTCTTTAAAAACAATAATAAAGGAAAACTCCACCTAGCTAAACAAAATTAATATAGTGTTTTTTTTAAAAATACAAAGTCTGGCAGTCTGCATTCAAATATCCTTAACAACTGGCTTGTATGAAGATAATTTAAAATTTGATTTTTAAATAGCTTTGTAGTGATAATAGATCTTTCTATGTCGTTACTTGAATTCACAAGGATAGATTTGTAGTGACTTAAACAATATTCCTCTGACATTTAGTAGTAAATGAAAAAATGTTGTGAAATTTTTATGGTGTCAGCTACATTAAAACTTGATTCCAATAATTTTATGAGGCCAGTACAATTAAAACTGAAAACCTATGGTTCAGAGTTCTAAAAAAAAATTGGGTGAAATTTACAAAAACAAAGAACAAAAGTCCCAAACTGGCTGTATTAGCTCACTGGGATTCCACATGTATCCTACTGCAGTTGACTTCCTGTGTGTCCTGGGGATTCAAATTCAGCTCCCCATGCTTTTACAGCAAACCATCTTCCAGGCACCACTGTGGCATTTATTATTTTCTAAAAGTAATTATATCAACCATACCTGTCTATTAGGTCTTTGCATGCACTTTAGTGTCATAGTGCGCTGTCTCATGATGAAACAGTTTCCCCGAATGAAAATGATAAATCTTTCAATCTAAATTCTCAATGTCATTCTTATGCAAAGCTATTTGCAAGATATGTGTAAGAAAAATGTCCTTTCTCTTGACTCAAATATTGAGATAATGAACATAATCACAATTTTTCCAAAGCCTTATTTATTGTCATTTTTTTTCAAATTAAGGATGATGGAAATCCTACAAAACACCAATATGGTTTCTTCTAGCCAGATTCAAGCCTGTTCCCTTGTTTTAGTTGTTAGTGTAAACACTGTATTTGAAATCACGGGTGGCATCAGTAATAATTCTCAGTTAAGCAACAGAGCCAACCTGAGTGTTTGCCCAGGCTCCTTTTTCAGAGCCGATTACAAACGGACTCTAATTTTCATGTGCGTTCAGAGTTACAGCAAATTACCCTGAGCTTCTCGCTTTCCCTAGAAGGTTTGGTGGATCGCCAGAGGCTGGGGGCTGTAAATACGGGACAGTCTGAGGCAATTAGGACATTTAGTTTGCCAGAACTTCCTAGTGCCTGAACATTCTGGATAAATGGGTATTTCCTGCCCAGGAAAGCCATGTGCTCTCACAAAGTCTCCTTTGCTAATCAGTCAACTAGTAAGGCTCACAAGAGCTTGCAAGAGGAATTTGTTACAAAGAGAGCCTGTCTAAACACAGAAGCAGCATCAATTCAACAAAATTAGGTTTGATTTAAAGACAACAAAATAGGGCTAGCAAGATGGCTCATGGGGTAAGGGCACTTGCTGCCAAGCCTGGTGACCTAAGTTCAATCCCCAAGAATTACATGGTAAAAGGAGAGAACGGGCTCCCACAAATTGTTTTCTCCCTTTCTCTCTCTCTCCTCTCTTTCTCTGTCTCTGTCTCTCTCTCTCACACACATACACACACACACACACACATACATCTAAATTGAAACCAAAGCAACAATAAACCACACTATGATCCACGTAGGTTATTTCTGAGACAGAAGAGACAGCTGGTATTGGTGGGTCATATCTTGAGAAAATGAATACCTTTTGCATGAAAATGCTTTCATTTCAGGACTCGTCGAGACATATATATTTGAACTTTCATTGGGGTACAATTGTAGTCCTAAATCCTACTGGACTTACACAGTGGAATTGACGCCCGTTGCTGACTAAAGAACATGACAACTGTGCTCAATTTGCTCAAGGACCTTGATCTCTTTGTGCTTTGGTATCATTATCATGAGATCAGAGACATGTATCCTTCTCCCTTAATCTATAGCTGTAACTACTGAGACAGTGTTAACCAACTTTGAATAAGTAGAAAGTGCCCTGTGGTTGCAAAATATACATTAAAACCCTCTTATTGCTAGGCACCTCATTCAGCATCTCAGCATTATACAGACAATATTTGTCAAACAGATAACTGTCTTAAGTAGAAAATCAATGTTTATGTGACAAATTATTTGAAATGTATATTGTCCAATTGAGCTAGCATGCTTGTTCTTTGCAGCAGCCATGATTTGTAAGATACGACCTGGGCCCTCCATTGTGTACTCTCAGAAATGGCAAGTCAGAGAAACAGCAGCTAGAAACTGGCAAGACCGATTCAAACCCCTTTCTGTGGAATGCCAGACCTGGTCCGTGGTTTTCCATTATACCACACTTCATCTTTTGGTCACTGCATTTTTTAGAGAAAGGATTTTTTTTAGTTCAAATGGGGAAATCCTCCAAAGCAAACATGATGCCCAACTTTGAGGCATTCTGCCTAGAATTTATTGCCATGGTGGATATTGAAAAGGTTCTTTATTTTCATGGTTTAATGATGGTTGAAAGAGAATTCAAACCCTTTGCATCCAAGGGCTCATTAGCTAGCTCTCAGAAAATGTGGAAACCCAGAAATGTATAGGCTGGTATAATTATGAACAATCTTCTTCCTCAGAGCAGAGGTGTGCGGAGACAGGAACGTTTCTTTCTTACTCTTCTACTGCACAATGTGATGGTGTGAAAGAGATGGTCATCAAGTTAGTGATCCCACATTAGGAAAGGGTATAGACAAAGACAAAAGCTAGGGCTTTACTATAACCCCCAGATTTCTAGGTAACATCTGGAGTATGAACAATTCTGAAGAGCGACTGTGTGC